GGCGGAGGGGGCGGCGCGCTGGGCTGCTGAGGAGAGGGAGAGGGGGGGGGGGGTGGGCGACGACGACGCCGAAATAAAGTCGTCGGGGCGGAGGGGGCGGTGCGCTGGGGTGCTGGGGAGCGACACATGTCGACACAACGCCGAAATAAAGTGGTCGGGGCGGAGGGGGCAGCGCGCTGGGCTGCTGAGGAGAGGGAGAGGGGGGGGGGGCGACGACGACGCCGAAATAAAGTCGTCGGGGCGGAGGGGGCGGTGCGCTGGGGTGCTGGGGAGCGACACATAGCGACACATGTCGACACAACGCCGAAATAGGGCGACGACGACGCCGAAGTAAAGTTGTCGGGGCGGAGAGGGCGGTGCGCTGGGCTGCTGGGGAAAGCGACGCATGTCGACACAACGCCGAGACAGGGCGACGACGACGCCGAAAGAAAGTGGTCGGGGAAGAGAGGGCGGTGCGCTGGGCTGCTGGGGAAAAGGGCCGGGGGGGGCGACGACGACGCCGAAATAAAGTGGTCGGGGCGGAGGGGGCAGCGCGCTGGCTGCTGAGGAAAGGGAAAGGGGGGGTGGGGGGGGCGACGACGACGCCGAAATAAAGTCGTCGGGGCGGAGGGGGCGGTGCGCTGGGGTGCTGGGGGGCGACACATAACGACACATGTCGACACAACGCCGAAATAAAGTGGTCGGGGCGGAGGGGGCAGCGCGCTGGGCTGCTGAGGAGAGGGAGAGGGGGACGGGGGGGGCGACGACGACGCCGAAATAAAGTCGTCGGGGGGGAGGGGGCGGTGCGCTGGGGTGCTGGGGAGCGACACATAGCGACGCATGTCGACACAACGCCGAAATAAAGTGGTCGGGGCGGAAAGGGCAGCGCGTTGGGCTGCTGAGGAGAGGGAGAGGGGGGGGGCGACGACGACGCCGAAATAAAGCCGTCGGGGCGGAGGGGGCGGTGCGCTGGGGTGCTGGGGGGCGACACATAGCGACACATGTCGACACATATCGACATATAGAGACATATATCGACACATTCACACACATATCGACGCATAGCGACACACAGCGGCACATAGCGACGCACACATGGAGACGCATAGCGACACACAGCGACATATATAGCGGCACATGAAGGGCACAAGGCACACAGCGACACATATAGCGACACATGAAGGGCACAAGGCAGCTGGGGGGGAGCGACGACGACGCCGAAAGAAAGTGGTCGGATCTCTAGACACCCTGTGCAAGAGAATAACAATCAAACAACACCGGAAAGGTTTAGGGGGAGCCTCCTCCAGGGATGTTTTTTTTGATGTTTGTGTGCTCTTTTTGTTTGTTGGTTTCAAAGCTGAGCAACCAGGAAACACACAATATTCTTTGTCGCCGAGCTGAACAACGAAGCAAACATTTTGCGCGACGAGCTGAAGATTGTTTCTTTGCAAGAATTGGAACCCCAAAACACCAAACAACCAATTTCTGGGGAGGTTTAGGAAGAGACGCCTCCAGGATTCGTTGTTTTCCTTAGGCTCTTGTGGTTCCGAGCTGCGCAAACCAACCAACCACACAGTTGATTTGGTTCCGATTGGAGATCCCCCATCAAACAAACAAACGAATTTTGCAGTTCCAGAAAGACTGAAGGAACACAAAAAAACAAACACACAATCCCTGCGGAGGTATTTAGGGGAGGCTCCACGGTATTGTTGTTTCTTTGGTTTGCATTTCTTCGGTTTTTGATGTTTTGTTGTTTTTTGGTTTCGAGCTGAAGAGCCGGGGAAACACACAGTGTTCTTGTAGTTACGAGCTGAACGAATCAGAACTAACATGCGTTTCTTATTGGGAGTTGAACAACACAACCAAAGAAACGATGGGAAACCAGGGAAGCCACACACGAATGCCTTGGGAGGTTTCAGAGGCGAGTCCTCCAGTTGTTTGTCGTCCGATCGATTATTGAATCCGAACTTTTTGTAGTTGTTTTCTTTTTTGTTCTGTTGGGTCCCAGCTTTCCTTTTTTCTCCCCCCAAGGAGAACCAATTCATTCAAAGACCAATCCTTGGGGAGTTTTTTTTTTCCCCCGGATACTCCTCAAGTGTTTCTTGTGTTCCTTATGTCGTTTTCGCTCCCAGCTGAAACAAAGCATTCGCATGTATTCCTTAATGACGGTTCCTGTAGACATACTCCGCACGAAGGAATCCTTGACACAGGTTCTTTAGTAAGGACCCCTTAATTCGGATTCACGCATAAGGGTTTCTGATCAAGATTCCGTACTAAGGACTCCTTGGTAAATATTCATTTCTTTAGTACAGATTCCTTACTCAGGATTCCTTCGTACATTTTCCTGACGCAGGCTTCCTTCGTGACGATTCCTTGCAAAGGACTCATCCGTACGGATTCGTGACTGCGGGGTTCTTCGTAAAGGTTCCGTATTCACGGCTCCGTAGTGAAAATATGTTAGCCAGGATACATTCGGACATATTCTGTTCTAAGGAACTGTTAGGACCAATTCCTTGCTCAGTGTTCTGTAGTCCCGGTTCCTTACCAAGGCTTCCTTACTTCGGATTCTTTCCGAAGGAATCATTTGCACAGAATCTTTAGTCACTATTCTTGCGTACGCACTCCTGCCACAGGGTTCATTTGCGAAAGGTGTTTGGGCTTATTGGACCGTCTCGAGCACTCTGGAAACCGAGAAGCCGACTATGCGAAAATGGCACCGAACCTAAGGAAAACCTATAATTGTTGCCTCCCGGGCACCTCTTGGAGTCGTCTTCGGGCCCCTTGGGCAATCTGGGGAAGCCGCTGGCCCGTCCAGTGGCCATCTTGGGTCTATCTTGGGCCATTTGTGGCCCATCGTGGTCGTCTTGGGGCGCTCGTCGAGCCATCCTGAAGCCTCCAGGGGCCCTCCGAGGCCGTCTCGGGCCATCTGGGGCCGTCTTGGGCCCTCCTTGGGCGCTCGCTCCGAAGCTGTACCAGAGCAGCTTTCTATGCACATGGTTCCTCATTGAACTCGTACAACAATATATGTAGTGTGCATGTGCATTCTCCGAACGCAAGTTTGGGAGGCGAAGGTGGAAACCTGAGAGGAATGAGAACGCGACGTATTCACATTTATACATAGCCTCTTCCTGGCAATCTCTCTCTCTCTCTCTCTCTTCCTCTCTTCCCCTCTCTCTATGACTATCAGTGTATACCCATGTGAATATATATATATATATATATATACATATATATATATGTGTGTATACACGAACATGCGTGTGTACATGCATATATATATAGATATCGAGATCTATACAGATTTACATATAGCCATAAACATACATCTATTCAAATAGATTTATACACACCATTATCCTCCATCCTGCGCCCGTCTGGCAAGTGCAACCACGGGTGGCCGGCTGCCGCTTCTGCGGTTGCGCAGCACTGGCCTGGCAGCTTGGCGGCAGCACCGCGGTGGGGGCTGGGCTGAGGAGGAGCCTTGAGGGAGGAGGGTCGCCGGCCCGCTCACTGGAAGGTCACCACGTAGGCGGGCAGCACGGCGCCGCCCTGCTGCACGATGAAGACCTCTGGGGTGGACAGGTGGTCCACGGAGCTGTGGTACCGGTGCGGCTTGCGCCTGTAGGGCAGCAGGCCCTGGTGGTTGGGGTCGCCAGCGCATGGTATGCCGATCATGGTCAGGCACATCAGCATCCGGGAGGTGCCGTCCTTGCGGGGCCAAAAATACACACCACCACCACCACCATCACTCCCTGCCTCTCCCAGAAAGGAAAAAATGAAGAAGAGGCTGGAGGAGGGGGGTGTGAACGCCGTGGTGGTGTATACTCTTGGCACCTGCAGTCCTGGGAGCGCTGCCCACAAAAGCCGGCCTCCCCGACGTACTTCGCGTCCCGCGCCAGGTAGGTGCCCTTGCCCCACAGCGAGGCGCCGCGAGTGCCCACGGCCAATGGCCGCATGCCCTGCATGGGGTCGTTGATGATGGAGTCGATGGCGGTGGCGTCTGCGCCGTGCCACGTCCAGATGGTGTGCACCCCAGGCTCGAACAGCACCTGCTGGTCCTCGAAGGAGTGGCGCAGAGCGTTGTAGTAAGGCACCACGCTGCCGCTCACCTGCAGGCCGTTCTCGATGCGCTGCACGGCCACGACGGGGCGCCTTCTCCGGGGGAGAGGGGGGGGAGAGCGAGCGCTGGACTTGACCGTCAGCTGCTTTTCAAGTGCGACTGGGCCCCACTGCCCAGAGCCACTTGTACTCAGGCCTGGACGTGATACACACAGCGCAACGCGCGGACAGCAGCAGCATCAGCAGTGGGCGGCGGGGAGGAAGGAGGCAGAGCAGAGAGGCCGCGATTAGAGGAGCGACAAAAACTGCATATATACATATATATGTATAGGAACTTCTGGAGCTCAAAGAGGATATGCTTAGACAGCACTGTCGTCTTCGGGCGATAGGGCGCCTGTCCCAGTTCGCCTGCGGCCCAGTATTGTACGCGGGCGGCTCTCGGGAGCGCGCCTTGAAGATGGCCTCCACGCACCGAAACTCCTGAGGAAACCAACAGGCACGGAGACCGCTGCTCTCTGGACTTCTTATGGGGCGCGTTCTGACCAGCATTTCGGGGCGAATCCAGCGGTGGCGCGCAGGGCCTCCCATAGAGGCTTCCTGGATGAGGTCCGAGCACATGGGGTCGGAGGATCCTGCCACATCGCAGATGCATCGGCGATGCATCGACGATGCATCGGCGATGCATCGGCGACGTCGGCGGTACATCGGCGACGCCCGCGTGGAGAAAATCGGGTCCCGCATCGAGCCGCATCAGCGATGCATCGGCGATGCGGCGCGGTCCTCCGACCCATCTACTCCGACCCCATCTAAGAGGCCTACATTCCAGGAGGCCGAAACAGGGGAAAACGCGCGAAAGGTAGCGTCATGGGCACCTCTCGGCTACACGCAAAAGTGACGCTGTGTAAGGAGTGACCAAAGGTCACTCCGGCGAAGGTTTTTTTTTACGTTCCCCCCCTCCCAATCCTCCCCCCATTTCTCCTCAAGCCTTCGACTCCTCCCCCTCCTCTTCCCTCCCTGCCTCCCTCCCTGCCTCCCTCCCTCCTCCCTCCTCCCTCCTCCTCCTCCTCCTCCTCCTCCTCCTCCTCCTCCACCTCCTCCTCCTCCTCCTCCTCCTCCTCCTCCTCCTCCTCCTCCTCCTCCCTCCTCCTCCTCCTCCTCCTCCTCACCTCCTCCTCCTCCTCCCTCCTCCTCCTCCTCCCTCCTCCTCCTCCTCCTCCTCCTCTCCTCCTCCCTCCTCCTCCTCCTCCTCCTCCTCCTCCTCCCTCCTCCTCCTCTCTCCTCCTCCTCCTCCTCCTCCTCCTCCTCCTCCTCCTCTCCTCCTCCTCCTCCTCCCTCCTCCTCCTCCCTCTCCTCCCTCCTCCTCCTCCTCCTCCTCCTCTCCTCCTCTCCTCCTCCTCCCCTCCTCCTCCTCGCCTCCTCCTCCTCCTCCTCCTCCTCCTCCTCCTCCTCCTCCTCCTCCTCTCCTCCTCCTCCTCCTCTCCTACCTCCTCTCCCCTCCTCCTCCTCCTCCCTCCTCCTCCTCCCCTCCTCCCTCCTCCTCCCTCCTCCCTCCCAGGATCTCCCAGGATCTTCCCAGGATCTCGGCTCCTCCGAGCCGCGCGGCACGTCCCAGAGCTTCCGGTCCTCCAGGCCCCGCTGGGCCTGGGACTGCCAACGCTTCTGCAGCGCCTGGGGCGTGTAGCCGAGCGCGCCCTCGGCCTGCAGACGCTCCCGGCTGAGCCGATCCCGCCAGGTGCGGATCATGTGGGCCTCCCCGGGGGGGGGCAGCACAAAAGAAGCGCCAGTGCGATGCTGCTCCCATCGCACTTCGGGACCACCACCCAGAAATAATCTCGAGCACCCGGAAAAAGTGTCGAAAGGGTGTCGAAACAGTGTTGGACGAGTGTGTCACAGGGCCCGGCACGTGAAAACCCTCCAGGGTCGGTCGAAACTCTTTCTGGTGGTTCAGGCTGAAGTAGCTTGGAACATCATCACGCCAGCAGAAGCCCAGCACAAGAGGCGTGAGCAGGGGCCTCCTAGCTGGGGTTCGAGCAGTTGGCCTCGGAGGATCTCGCCGCAGATCGCCGATGCATCGGCGAGGCATCGCCGATGCGTCGGCGAGGCGTCGGCCGAGCACTGGCGACGCTGGCGATGCATCCGCGACTTCGGCTTGGAGCAGATCGGGCCCCACATCGAGCCGCACCGCCGATGCATCGCCGATGCATCGGCGCTGTGGAGCGATCCTCCGACCCCATCTACTCCGACCCCGTCCAGGAGGCCTAGAACAACACAACAAAGCGTCATGCTCCGAGGCGCCGTCGGGGGGCATTCTCCCTCTTGTGGAGGGGCGCAAGGTTTTGTTTTTGTTGGTCTGTAGAGGGGGGTGCGCAAGGGTGGAGCCTCGGGCTGCAAATATCAGTCGGGGCCATATGTTGGACATGCCGCCCTGCCTGGCGGTCCAACACCACCCAGGCCTCAACCTTTTCCGCCCTGGCCGAAGATCGGGAAGAGAGGAGGGCGAGGAGGAGGAGGGATGACCAGGGTGAGGAGGCTGGGTGGGCCTTCTTTGGAGCGTCTGGTCTACCTCCGCGGCCTTCTCATTCACGTGATCTCGACCACTCCTCCACCCTCTCGTCCAGATTTCGTCTGGATGTCAGCGAATTCCGAACGAAATCGCAGAGGCCGCAAGGAAGTCTCAGACTCCCTGAAGCCCCATAGAGGACTACACAACCGCAACTCCTCGGCGACCTGCCGCGGTGCGCTCTGACCAAATTCTGAGGCGAGTCCAGCCTGGGCGACAACACGGCAAGGGTGGCGGTATCGTTCCCAGATACCTGGCCGCCCAATTTGTTTGATGCGTGGGCCCTGAAGTCCAGACCACTTCCCCGGGGCCAGGTTTTCGTCCTGAGTCGTTTGTTGACGCTCCCGAGGCCCAGCGAGGGCCCCCCCCGAGGCCGAAAACGGCCCAAATCCCGCCCAAGGTTTTTGAGAGCGTCGGATCTCTGGGTTGCAACCTTTTCCTCCTCTGAGCCTCGGGCCCGTCGGCGTCCATCACCGCGTCCATGAGGCGCGGCAGGCAATCGTTCTGGGTCAGGGACACCATGTTGTGCGTGTCGCCCTCGCGCGACCGGATGCCCTGGGGCAGGAGCCCGCTGCTGCCGATGAACAGCAGGAACGTCATGTTCTGGGTGCCCGTCTGTATGAGCTCGTCGCAGTGTTCCCGCTTCACTCTGTAGACCTTCGTGTGCATTCTGCGCGTGGGAGGAGGAGGAGGAGGAGGAGGAGGAGGAGGAGGAGGAGGAGGAGGAGGAGGAGGAGGAGGAGGAGGAGGGAGGGAGGAGTAGGGAGGAGGAGGAGGAGGAGGCGGAGGAGGAGGAGGAGGAGGAGTAGGAGGAGGAGGAGGAGGAGGAGGAGGAGGAGGAGGAGGAGAGGAGGGGAGGAGGAGGAGGAGGAGGAGGAGGAGGAGGAGGAGGAGGAGGGAGGAGGATCAGTAGCGCCTCTTCGTGTGTAACAGGCGTCCCTAGGAGGCGCCTCGTCGCGCCCACATTCGCGCCGAGTGGCACCCTAGAGAACCTCTTCACACCTAGAAGCGCCTACTAACGACCACAAGTACTCCAGATTTCGTAATGAAGGGAGGGGGGTCTCATTTCGGGGGGGGTCTCTTCCAGGCTATCTTGGAGGGCCTGGGGGGGTCTGGGGACGATGTTTTGGAGGGTTCTCCCACGGGGGAGGTCTGAAATGACTCGTCTTGGAGGGTCCAGACCCCCTCCCTTTTATTACGAAATCTGGAGTAGGCAATAATGAACGTTGAGTAGCGGGGGGAGGCAACAACTCAGGCTGAAAACGACTCACGCAAAACACACCAAACCTCGTCCTGGTCGCCCGAGCAGATGACCACGGGGCAATTCTTGGGAAGCTGAATGCACGTCGGGTGGGCGTTGATCAGCACGGACGGGCCGAGCCAGAGTCCCGTCTGCCATAATCTCACTAAATAGACGCCACCCTTGGAGGCTGCGGTCATGATGTCCGGCTTGAACGCGTCGATCTCTTGCCTAGCTGCTGGGATAGAGGAACAAAAACCCACGACACAAACAGTAACATTCGGAGGACCGCACGGATTCCTTGGATCAGTGATGAGCCCCCCCCGCCTGACGGCGCCTTCGACATTGCTCATTGTGCGCTTTGAGCGACAGAACGAAGGGTCCAACACCGATCCGTGAAATCCTCGCGGATTTCATGAACTTCCCGTTTGTGTTAGTGTGTTGTCTTCGTCGATGGTTGCTGAGGACAGGCGTCCAACATAAAGTTGAAGGAAGGGGCCGAAACGGTAAAGGGGTGAACGTCTTCATATTCGTTCCTCCTCCTCCTCCTCCTCCAACTCGTCCTCCTATCCTCCGCCCGCTCATCCTTTGTGTCCCCCGCTCCTCCGTCTCTTCAGCCGAATCTGCTTCTTCGCAAGCGTTTTCCTCCTCCTCCTATGCCAGGCCGTCCCCACCAATCTCCCCCGCACCCTCCTGCTCTGTCTCCTCCGTGCCCTCCTCTTCGATCCTCCCTCCTCTCTCCTCCGACCTCCCGCCCAAAAAGAAATCGCTCTCGAACAGTCAAGGCTCGATCCGGACTGGGGAAGCCTCAGGGCCTCCAGGAGGCTTGAGCACAGGCGGAGGAGACATATCCTAGGGCTCCCAACTTCGCGCTTCGCGCTCCGCGAAGCGCGAATAACTTCGCGCTCTCGCGCCGCCCCCCCAGAGGGAGAAAAGGAGGACGAGGAGGAGGAGGGAGGAGGGGGAGAAGGAACGAGGACCGCGAAGCGCGAATAACTTCGCGCCCTCGTGGGAGCCCTTGCTCATATCGAGCGGGAGCGCCGCTGCTTGCAGGAGGGGCCGATCGCGGCGCCGAGGCGGGAGCGCCCCAGCCCTGCGCAGGAGACAAAGAAATACCGAGCGGGAGCGCCGTTTTTTGGGGTGGGGGGGGGAAGCCAGCTTTAAGGGCTCCCAACTTCGCGCTTCGCGCTGCGCGAAGCGCGAAGCGCGAATAACTTCGCGCTCTCGCGCCGCCCTCCCAAAGGGAGAAGAGGAGGACGAGGAGGAGGGGGAGGAGGAACGAGGACCGCGAAGCGCGAAGCGCGAATAACTTCGCGCCCTCGTGGGAGCCCTTGTTTCGGCGGCGAGCAAGCGCTCTGGTCCCGAGCAGAAAAGGAGGAAGTAGCGCGCGGAGGGTTGTTGTTGCTGCTGCTGTTGTTGTTGCGGTGGTTGTTGCTGTGGGGCTGGTTCCGGCGAGCCCCCAGAACGCCTGAGCGTGAGCCTGATTTTCAAAGGGCAAGCAGCCGGCGCCTAGGCGAGAGCGCCAGGGAGCCTCTAGGGAGTCCAACAACAATACATTTAACTTTAAGGTTCAACAGCAACAGCAACAGCAACAGCAACAGCAACAGCAACAGCAACACCACCACAACCACCAACAACATCAACAGCAGCAAACTCAACAGCGATAACACCAACAACACCAACAACAACAACAACAACAACAACCACCATAACAAATACAACAACAACAAGAACAACATAAGCACCACCACTAACAACATCAACAACCATAACCACAACAGCACAACCACCAACAACAACACCATCACCACCAGCAAACACACAACTTGCAACTATCATATTAAGACTGTTTGCTCTTATCTGCTCGCGTCCTCAATACTCGCCCTCGTCGTCTTCGATCGTACCCCCTTGGGACCTTTCTTGCCTGCAACGCGTTTTTCGTGCGGCCCCGAAGGGAGGGGAATTGGACGGATGCAGGGAAGGGACAAGGGGGAGGGAGGAGGATGGAGCACGAGAGATAGTGGCAGAAGGGGGGCTAGGAGCAGAAAACACGAGGCAGAACCGGACGGGCAGATCGGGCGGGTAGACCCTAACAGGTGGGCTGGGAAGGCGGGCCCAGGCGGCCGGATCGAGCAGGCGGGTTGCTGAAGCGTGCGTCCTGCATGAATCGCGAGGAAGTCTCGAGCGATAGCGCGATTCCTAAGGAAATCTGGCGGAAGCGAGAGCGTGATTCCTGAGTGTCGAGGGCGCTGCGTCTGAATAAGAGGAAGTTCTATGCGACAGCGCGATTTCCGCATAAGTTGTGAGGACGTCCCTCGCGAGAGCGCGATCTGGCAATACATTTTGAGAACGTCTAAAGCGGGAGCCTGTTTTTTGTAAACTGGGTTCCAGGGGCCCAATCTGGTGACCCCTCACTTTCCCTTGTAAGAAAACAGGTGCGAGCCCCAGAGGAGAAGGGGAGGACGAGGAGGAATCGGAGCCGAACCGCGAAGCGCGAATCACGTCGCGCCCTCGAGGGCGCCTCCTGGCCCTTGCCCGCCGCATGCCGCACCCATCATGTTTCTTAGCCGGCCGGGCCTGATCATCTGCAGGTAGGGCTGCACGGGGAACTGGTCGTGCTCGGGGTTCGGAAGGTCGTCTATGAACCTCACCTGGAAGCCCGCCTCGAAGAGCGAGTTTGCCTGCGGCGGGTTCAGCGCGCGCCCGTATCCTCGGCGGGCCGGAGGGGCCCAGGCACTCGGGAACGAGGATCGAGGGCAGGGCAGGGGAGGGGCCCCCCAGTGGAGGAGAGGCTGCCTGAACCGCCGGGGGAGACCGGCCGCGAACGAGGGGGGGCAGGGGAGGGGCAGCACAGGCGCCCGTCCCCTCTGGGAGCGCCCTGGCCAGGCTGGTCGACCCACCCTCCACGGGGATCGAGCGGCGACAGGTGCCCTCTCAGTCGGGTCTCGCGGCGTGCATCCCCACCCCGACGGGCACAAGGCCAGTGGCGCCTGGGGATCCTGGCGCACTGGCGGTGGTGACAGGCCTGAGGATGCTGACCCCGCACCCCTGGCCTGGCCTCCCCAGGCGCAGAAGGCATCTGTTTAACACCACCGCTCGATCACCTTACATTGTTCTTGACTGGGACGAGTGGGGCGTTCAAAATGTTGGCCGACGTGCGCGGGCGGCCCACCACCTCTGCCAACAGCAACATTGCAACGCACACGCTGCAGCAAAATCTTGGACCAGGCGCAGGCACCCCGCGATCGTGTAGCACTGTACTTCCACAGGGCTGACCTCGCGGGCGTCGCGCACCTGGCTGGCGTCTGCATTGGTTCCCCGTGGTCGGTCGATGGCGGCCCCTGCCCATCTTGAGACTCGGGTGCTACTTGTGTTTGGCGGGCGCATGGGAGTGCGCGAGACGGCCTGCGGCTTGAAGGTTGCTTGACCTGCCCCTCTACCCCCTACCCCCCGGGTCTGGACGGGGTGTCCGGGGACCAGTTAGAGCGCCCCAGGTTGTCTAAGATGGCTCAAAAATCTAAGACTGCCCGAGATAGCCCAAGACAGCCGTCAAGATGGGCAATAATAGTGCATGAGCGCTCAAGATGACTTTAAACATGACCCAAGAGGAAGAGGACCCCAAGAGACCCTCAGAAGAGCCCAGGAGGGCCACAAGAGAGCCCAAAACCTCCAAACTTGTCCCAAGAGGGCCATAGTAGGCTGCCAAGAGGCTCCCCGATGGAAAGACCCGAGACGGCATGTATGGTTGACTCCTAGGTTTTCTCAGGCTGATCCCCAGCTTCGATTTGACAGCTGCGCCTTCTCGTTGTTCCACTGCTGTTCCTGCACTTCACCCGCCCATGCAACACGCCTGGGCATCGCTACTGGATGGGCTGGTGGGCTTCGCGAAGCGTCAAGAGCTTGAAGAACGGCTGCTGCCACGTGAACCCTGGCGGGGTTGTCCAATACCCCCCGCCGATGAGACCCGCAGGGGCAGGGTTCGCACGTGTTGGCGGTGCGCAAAAGGGGGCCGAGGAAGGGGGGAAGGCTCCTTAGAATGCGCCAGCCGGGGACGCACCGCTTCTTAGAAGCATCCCCGCAGCTTCTCAGGAGCGCGGCGCTGCTCCGTCGAAGCAGGAGCCAGCTTCTTGGAAGCAAGCCGCTCGCTCCTCAGGAGCAGGCCAGGCCCGGAGCAGCTCCTGAGAAGCAGCCATACGCTTCTTAGAAGGGGCGCCCGCGCCTCCTCCTCCTCCTCCTCCTCCTTCTCCTCCTCGTCCTCGTCCTCCTCTTTTTCGTTCTGGGGGGACAGAAAAAGGTACAACGCGAGAGAAATGAAGACTAATCCAGCGAGGGGCAGCGGAGGAGAGGGAATGGACGACGTCCGCGGCGACACGAACAAACGAGCACTACTCACAGTGGACAGATGCCGATACCGCTACTCCGCTACTCTCCGGACCTCTCCCAGGGTGCGTTCTGACTTCCGAGGCGGATCCAGCGGTGGCGACAAGGGTCTCTGAGGAGGCCAGACAAACAGGGGAAATCGACGGGCGGAGGGCAGCAGCGCGGGTGCCTTTTCCTCCTCGGAGCTTCTGGGAATCTCCTCCCCTCCCGCCACACCCCTCCCGCGTGGCCAGGGCCTCTCGGAGATGGCCTCGGGGAAGCCTCCCGCCGTCTCCTCCGAAGGCCGCCCCCGCTCTCCCCGGTCCCGCCCGCAGGCCCGACCCCATCCGCGGGGCCCCTCCCATCTCGAGCCGCGCTGGGCCGCGGCCGCCGAGGGCCCACCAAATGATTAGCATTCATCGGAGCCTCCTGGATGGGGTCCGAGTAGATGGGGTCGAAGGATCGCGCCGCATCGCCAATGCATCGCCGATGCATCGGCGACGCATGGCCGATGTAATCATCGGCGACGTCGGCGGCGTATCGGCGGCGTCGGAGTGGAGATAATCGGGCTCCACATCGCGCCACATCGGCGATGCAGCGGCGATGCGCTGCGATCCTCCGACCCCATCTGCTTCGACACCCTCTCGGAGGCCTAGAAATAAACTGACCCTGAACCCTTTGGGAGAGAACCTAAGGTCAGAGGCCCAAATCCTTAGGGATAGGGCTTCTCTTCCGAAGATGCATCAAGCCAAGCCACCCATGATGATTATCACTGATGCAAGGACGTGGACCTAAGTGAGGCTACGTCCTCATTGTGTTAGTATCGTTATGGGTTGTTTTAATTCTCGATTACCAGAGACATCCCGAGCAGAGGAAGAATGGCACTCGGTTATCCTCGCCCTCATCGAAGAAGAAACTAGGGCGCGGATAACTTCGGGCGAAGCTATATCGAGCATCTCTGAGATCCAGTGGCTATGGAGAATGTCTCGGGCGCTGCGCCCTTCTCGGAGCGTTCCGAAAGGATCTGAGAGCGTTTGTTTTTGTTCTTCTAACAAGGCCGAACAGACTTCCCGATGATGAGGTTCGGAAGCTCAACTCTCGGGCGTGCTGCCCTGCAGTGAGCTGCGCGCGCTTTCGCGCTGGCGCGCGGAGCACGCGCGGTCCCGATTAAGAGGCGGTATCACTAGGAGGACCTCTCGCGCACACTGTCTTGAATGATACACTATACTAAAAAAAAAAAAAAAAAACGCGCTGCCACGCCCGCGGGCGGAGCACGTGCCGTCACGGAGGGGAGCGCCGAACAGCCGAACGCGGGTTCGTGCAAGGGACGGGCACCAGCCTGACCCCGCGGCCAAGTATAGCTCAAGCTACTCCACTCGCCCATCCGTTGCTCGGAGGAGGAAAAGCCTCCCTGATCGTGGGGTGGAGCCAAACAACTTCGTCCTTGCCTCCGCACCCGTGATAGACGGGTCTCGCCTACCTCAGAATTCCATAAAGTTCTGCCGAGGCATAGGGGCATTGCACGTGAAATGTTGGAGGACGCTCTTTGGCGACTCTTAGCCCCAAACCGCCACCGCGCTCAAGGAGCAGAGTGCAGCGGCACCGAGTGTGGCCGACGCGGCCGCGCTAGCTACGTCATCATCGGGCGCTGGGGCCGGGGTGGGAGAGTCAACGTCGACACCCATCTCGTCCGCTGCGCCAGACAGAACGGGATCGTACAGACAGGAGGTCTCGAAGCGCGGGAAGCGAAACGTGACGGTGGTCTGGCTGCCCTGGGTACTGATGGACGGGAACTCGGCCGGCAGCTGCTCCCACGCGCAGTCTTTCTGCACCTGCGTCGACAGCTCGAGCGTCGCGTTGCTGCCCAGAGACACGGACTTCCCGCTGCCCTGGTTGGCGCTCCCACCCCCCAAATTCTGCACCGTAATGTCGAGCTCGACGAACGCGCCGACCTGCTCGGTCTGGCCCTGTTTGCAGTTGGAGCCGTCGCACCAGGTTCAGTCCCAGAGGCGGATATTCCACTTCAAGTCTCCGATGTTGACGTCCCACGACTCGTTGGACATCCCCACCGTTCCCGACTGGGCCATGACGTAGGTGTCGACGCCGATTCGTCCGATCTCCGAGATGGTTGAATCGAACGACACCTTGGCGGCAGATACTCCAGAGCCGATGCGGACGGTCTCCATATCGCCCACCGTAAAGTCCTGGCTTGCAAAGGTGTTGATCGAATGCTTCACAGCCCCAGACGTACCCACTTCGTTGCCATCTGCGTCCACCTCCCTCAGCGCGTCCATCGTCACGCGGATGCCCACAGAGGCCCCCGACGAGCCCTTCGGCACGAGAGTGAACTTGCCGCTCTGGCCCTGAACTTGGAGCTCCAAGGGGATGTCCGGCGCTGGCTCTTCCGTCGTCTCTTCGAGGAAGGCTTCTGTCGTCGTCGCGTCGCACGATGGGTAGGCGGTAGCCTCCGCGAGGCCGAGGAGCAGGCAGGGCAAAAGGATCTTGGGGGTCATGGGGCTTGGGCTCGCGATGTTGGCCGGGTGGCCGCGCGCCCGCCGAAGGCAGCTCGAACTCTGGGCTGCAGCCCCTCTGAGGATCTCGAGTCAAACTTGAGCCAAGGATCTGAGAGCGTTTTGGAACGCACTGGACCGGATTTATCCTAGTCCTGGCCCCGTCCAATACCTTCTTCACCAAAGAATAGCTACCTCAACTTAGGTCGGGTGTGGCCTCCTCTTCAGGCGGATTTTGGAGGACTAATGAAAAATAGTCTACCCATACCCCACAATAGTCAAACATGATGAAAGAATTCGCTGGCCCAACTGGCCAGAGGCGTGCTAATAAGATCTCCGGTAACTGGTTAACAGTATTTCTAGTTCGCGCGCGCGGTGCGGCCCCTGGGGGCCCCCGGACGAAAAGTACCCCAGCAAGGTCCCGGGAGCAGCCACCAGAGCACTCCAGGGGAGGGCCATTTTTCGACACCCCTCCCGAGGATCGTGGCCTCCGAGGGGGGAGCCGCAATCGACTACCCCCCCTCCCGCCCCAAGAGGCCCCCAAAAGCCCTCCAAGAGGCCCTGGGGGTCCCCACGACGCAGCCAAGGAGCCCCAAGAGACTCCCAAGAGGCCCCCAAGAGGCCCCACAGAGGTCTCCAGGGCCGGCGGAATGAGCGAAGCGATCCATAAAACACGTTCATAGACAAGTGATTCTACTGTTCTTGCATTTTCCTCCTGTGGAGGGACGCGCCCGACTTAAATCCTAGTCCCGTCCGACGACCCCTTCTTCCTCAAAGAACGACGCCACCCAAGCACATACCAGCTCGACACTCTCGGAGGGGGCGCGCGGGGGCTTCGTGGATCGGCTTCGTGGACACCCCCCTTCCCTGTCGCTGAGAGAGAGAGAGAGAGAGAGAGAGAGAGAAAAAAAAAAAAAAAAAAAAAAAGAGAGAGAGAGAGAGAGAGAGAAAGAGAGAGATCGCGCCGGGGGCCGTGCCCGCGGCGCCGCCCAGGGGGGGGGGCGCCAGCGCCGATCCAGGACATCTTACCAGCCTCGAACATATCCCTATCCCTAAGATTGGCATGCCAAAAAGCGATGACAATCTTAGGGATGCGCCATCAAAAAATAGGAGAATCCCTAAGATTGGCATCGTGATGAGGAGATGCCCAGCATAGGGATAGGGGTATGTTCCAGGCTGGTAAACATCCCCGCGCGGACCTCCCCCGCTTTGTGCTCGTGCAGTGCCCTCGTCATCCACGACTGCGCGCGGCCTGCGGCTGCTCCAGGACGCCAAATGGACGCTGGTCGACGCTCCCCGACGCCAACTCGGCGCTATCTCATCTGCTTGAGGGTCGGCTGAGTAGACCTCACCCCCACTGGGGCCACATGAACTGAAAATGAATGGGACCTTGTTTCGAAAAACGACACTGACATCGGCTCTAGGCGCCCAAGGGGCCCCTTGAATGAGCCATGGGGAAGACCCGACGACACACCGCGCCCTCCTCCCGCCCTCGCCTGCCCTACCTCTACCTTCCCTCCTTCCCTCGCTTGCCCTCCCCTGCAACTTGTTGGATTGTCTGCGGGCCCGCCTGGAATGGCGCCCAGAAAATGCCGGCATACGCAGTATAGTTATTGTGGCGCCGCGGGGGTGGAGCAGAATCATGCCACGAAAAGGGCCTGATTAGACCCCTCCCGCGGAAGGATAAGTTCGAAGGCGGCGCGGGTGCTGGAGGTCCGTCGTGGACTGCTCCGCCTGGAGAGCCCAGGTACTCCGAAGTGTTCAGGGAAGACTGGGAACAACGCAATAGTTGTCCTCGTTTTACGCGATGCACTCTGTCATGCGACGCGCGGGGGCGAATAAACGCATTTTGCTTTGCTAATCGACGCTACAGACAGAATGCCGAGGGTATACAAGGCTCCCATGATTTGCTGCAGAAGCCCAGTCTCCTGGGCCGATGGCGAGGATCCGGGTCTGGCGGCGGCTTGCGGCCACGTCCATCTCCTCCGTCTGCGAGCGCTCTCTGAGCTTCATGTCCGCCAGCGCGGCGAGCACCACCGGGCATACTGGGCACAGCCCCCTTCCCCCTGGAGCCTCCAGGACGTGGCCACCGCGAGAAACTTGTCTCGTAATCTCGTCTGTATTTTCCCGCTTGCCCCCTTTTCCAATGTCGCCATCCTCTCTATTGCTGTCTTTCTCGACACGTTTCATTCTGCATACCACACCCTGAAAGGGAGTAAGGGTGGGGCCCGATCATTCCAGAGATTCGCTGCCGCTCGACTTCGGCAGACAGCCCGACGAGCCCGTCTTCCCGCAGGCCTCATCCGTCGGAGCTCTTCCTGAAGGCCGTGCGCTCCTCCTCCTCCTCCTTCTCCTCCTCCTCCTCCTCCTCTCCCTCCTCCTCCTCCTTGGATCCAAATTTCAAGGCGTTGACAACACCACGCGTGTTTTGTTCCATGATGCTTTTTGCCCTCTCGGGGGCGTGTGGGGGCCATCGTGGCGGCATCCGGAGGCCAGGGACGGTCCGCTACGAGGTGGAGGCGAAGGATAAAAGGCGCAGAATAAGCCCCGGATGCGTCCACGATGCTGCAACACACCCGCCCGCCCCAACTCCCGTCTACATAGAGCCAGGAATAGGGCCCAGGGGCCCAGAGTAAGCAATGGATGCGTCAACGATGCTGCAACACACCCGCCCGTCCCAACGCCCATCTGCGTAGAGCCCACGAAGTACACCCATGAGCCTAGCCTTCTGACTACCTACCAGGCCACCCCAACCCAACCCGAAGATCCGAACTTCGGGTTGGGGGGGGAGTACGAGGTCATATGTGTTTGTTTCGATGTTCCCCGACCCCCCCCCCACCGGAAAGGAAAGGCAAATCGGGGCCTTCGGGTTGGGCGGTGACCTTCTGCCACAAGGGGAAGTGCCCCCTCGGGAGACGACCGCCCTGTGGGCCTGCACCGCAGGAGCACGAGGACAGCTGCTCCACAAGCTGAACACAGGGCTTCCAGCGAGAGCCGCGCTTGGAAAAGAGGACGCCCCCAATCTTCCGGCGAAATCTAAGGAACACGAAGAAAGCTGCGCCTCAAGTTGAGCACAAGGCTTCCAGCGAGAGCCGCGCTCGGAAAAGAGGACGCCCCCAATCTTCCAGCAAGATCCATGGAACACGAAGAAAGATGCCCCTCAAATTAAACCAAAACGGTTTCGAGCGGGAGCCGTGCTGGGAACAGAGGACGCCCCCACTCCGCGCAACCGTTGCACAAGTGTGTTGTCCTTGTGCTCGTTCTTTCCGAGGGAAATCAAAGCCCTGGCTTCACGTTGAAAAAGGGCTGCCTGCCATTTGTGCATCCGCTAGATGTGCTCAGGCTTATGGTCGTGGAAAGAAGGTCTCAATCGAGATCCCCATCATGAAAAGGAACTGCCCCCCCGTCTGTATTGGTACTCTAGATCAAAATGAAGACAGGCGAACGGATTTAAGGAGAGAGCCCCACGCATACAAAAAGCGCGCCGCCTCCGTCCTTGCAACTGTTGAAAACCGTTGAGCCGAATGCGCGTGGCGCTGGGCGAGAAACCCACTTTGACATGGAGCCGTCCTTCATCCTCGTGGCCCTGGCACGCGTTTACAGCCAGCGTGCGCGACGATCCGGCGACGACCCGACTGTGAACAGGGAACGCCCTCCACCGGCGTAACTACTGCGAGCTTTCAGGATGAATGTGTGCGGCGCGAGCGCGAGCGCCTCATGTTGAAGACGTGACGCGCTCCACCCTTGCAACTGCTGGACATGCCAAACGTCATCACCACACACTGTGAAGTCTCCTGCGAAACGCCCGGGGCGCCCGCCTGCTGGCCGCCTGGCCGCCCGCCCAAAGAGCACCGACAAGGTGGCGTGAGCGAAGAGTGGGAGAATTGAGCGAGAACGAAGGAGAGGATTGTGGGTGGCCGCCACTGCATGCAGGAACCATGGTTATCGTCCAGCTCCGTCTTCCCCCCGTTCGCCACCCGACCGCGCCTCGCTGCGGACGCATGGCGTCACATGGGGGCCTAAGTCGCAACGTTCGAGGTTCCAAGATTTCAAAAGTATTGAAACAATTCTGGGTACCCTGGGGCGCTGTCGTCGCTACGGCTGGATTGTCTCGGAATTCTGGGCAAGTGATGGTTTCAATGCCAAGTTACTTCTCTTGTAAGTTCGGTCACGAGGGGCCTGTTTTTGGGCATCGGTGATGCCAGAAATACGTCGGGATGAACACAAACTCTGTGGATGGAACCAATGGCGATGTTGTAGGTCTGAAGAAAGGGGGTGATCTGCGGCTGCTGCAAACGCTTCTCGTATCTCTGGTCTCCGTCACGCGATAGTGCCACTCGAAATCACTATATGCGAAACGCTTCTTGCCGCCGGCGATGGACTGGAACACGCAGTTGACCGCATCGAACGTGGACTCGTCCTGCATTACCCTGCTGCAGTCTAGCCCTGGTAAGAAAAACTCTGCCAGCTCACGGTGCTTCTCCACCGCCTTGAAGATCTCCCATTTGGACACTGCGTTGTTGCCGTCCCCATCCATCAAATCGAAATACTGCTTCAACTGAATCGTCTGATGGGACTTCGTCCTCTCCGACTCCTCCTTCTTCCGAACGTAGTTCGCAAATTCTGCACACTTTATGTGCTGCTTGCCTTGAGCGACCTCGTCAAATGTCTCGTCTATGATGTCGAAGACAGTCTCGCTGATACTGGCGGGATGAGAGAAGTCATTTCCCCATTCCTCCTGGACTCCATCTAGATGAGATTATCCGACGCAGCGGATTGGCGGCGCGCGCAAGGCAGTGGAGTCGAGGGGGGAGGCTTCTCAGAAGTCGGCTGCTTCGTAGAGGGCGCCAGCCTTGCATCTGCAGCAAAGGCCCACGCCTTCGCAGAGGCAGGAGTGCTTCTAAGAAGCCTCTTTCCCCCCCTCCCCCATAGCCCCCTCTGCGCGTGGCCGAGGAAGCCACCACCCGGAGGGAGAACGCCCACGACCCGCGCGCGCGCGCGCGGGCCCACCTCAGACGAGCGCGTTCCACCACCCGCACAATAACTGCTCGCAGATGGCCTGGATCCGCCGCGAGGGATCTCCCGTGAATGCCACCGAGGCAGACAATTTTTTTTTCCGGGGCGTTTGCGAGCCGGCACCGTGCGAGCGGCGGAGCGCGCTCGGTGGCACCCGCTCGACGTCCGCACTGCTCGTGGGGGCGCCCGCGGAGCGCGCGGGGGCTCGGGGCCCTGCACATGGCCCGGCATTCGGGGCGACGTCGGCGAGCTTCAAGTCGGGCCTGTCGCCCTACAGGAGGAATATTCAGACCGAGTCAAAAAATAATCCGGGGACGACGACGACTGTTTGACTATTCTTGAACATGGTGGGGGGATGTTTTTTTGGTTCGTCCAGAATGCGCCTGTATGGGGGACACGACCGACCTACGGCGAGCTCCCCGCGCAAAGCCGACCGCCGATTTGCTTTTTGAGCTCAAGCCGGCTTCTAGATCACGGCGGGTGCCCACTGGAGCGTGCTTCTCTTTCATGCTCGCGGCGATGGCGAGCGTTGTGGGGGGTGGGGGAGGGGGAGGGGGAGGTGGAGGACGAGGACGAGGAGGAGGAGGAGGAGGAGGAGGAGGAGGTGGAGGAGGAGGAGGAGGGGGGAGGGGCGAGGGGGCGCGAAGTCGAGAACGCCAGAATCCTCATCAATGATTCGTCCCTCTCTGGGCCCTCCTGGGAAGCTCCTTCGAGGCCTCCTTCGAGGCCTCTTGGGCCGTAGGTGGGGGGGGGGCATCACGTAACGCCTTCCCCTTCCCCCCCCCCCCCGTGCTAGTGCCGGGCACCATGACCCTGTACGGCGGCAGTGCCGGGGGGCGCACCCGGGGGGGAGCGTTACGTTGTGGTGTGGGGGGGGGGGGGGGGCGGGCGGGGGCGGGGGCGGAGGGGCACAACGCCTGTTTCTGGCCCAGAGGGTCAGACACTGGGCTCCTGCTGCAGCTCGGGATGTCCAGGCGCTCTCTCCTCCTCCTGCTCCTGCCTTCCCTCATTCCCTGGCCTTCCCCCCCCATTGCCGTCCCAAGTGCAGGCACGCAGCCTCGAGCCAGCGTGGGCGAAGACGGAGTAACTAGGCTCCCGTGGGTGGGCTCCTGAAGGCTGATGTGCGGGGCATCTTGAGGTGCTTTGAGAGGCATCCCCTCAGACCCCCCTGGCGTCGGTCTGTTTTTCGGTATGTCGGTATGTTTTTTTCCCATGTTCGGCTCGAGGGGGGGCCCTGCCGTCCCTGGGGACACTCAAACACTGCTCATGGCGAAAAGCCAGTCCCAGGGAACGTTTCCAGATCTTTGGGGGTCTACGTCATGAAAAAGTGGCGACGTCGGGGGTCTGGACCCAGAGGTGCGTCGGAGCCGATGGACTGGAACAGTCTTTCAATTCCAGGATCGCCGACGCAGTGATGCTTCCGATGCGGAGGTATCTGGAGCACTCCACCCCTATCCGGGGGGCAGGCTCTTCTGGTTCAGGATTACGTTCTGATAATCCGATGGCCAACACTCAGGCTCCAGACGCCTAAAACCGTAAACCAGCGTCGCATTTCAAAAAGCGTCTTAAAATAAACTTTCGGGAGTCTGCGCGAATTTTTTGTTCTTGGATCGGCGCTGGACCCCGCTCCCTGGTGCGTGGAGCGCGCCACGGGCGGCGCCGGAGGCGCCGCCAGGGGAGCCCAGCGCCGATCCGAGACACCCGGGCGAAGCTCCGAACGTTCATGTTTACGACGTGGCTTCCTCTTTGACTTTCTGACTTCAAGACGTTGGGTTTCTGGGTTCGACGACCCCGCCGCCAGCGATCACTGGGTAGCAAAACAACCAAGCTGCGACGATGCGTGACGCTGAGGAGGGCCCGGCAAGCGGGGAGCAGACAAATCAGACGAAGACACAGAGTGCGAAGGCCCCAGCATGGAGCAGGGACCGATCGACCTGGCGTGCCTATAACAAACCACGACGCTTCCATTGAACAGAAGCACTCTCTAATCACAGAACCTCTTTCAAGTTTTAAGAACGTCGACGGACTCAGACAAGACTGACTCAGCCAGGCCAAGCAAGAGGACAAGCGTTCATCCGCACAGGTCCTCCTACAGGCGCATCTCGGCAGCACACGAAACAAGCCAACCATACTCAAGAGCAGTGAAGAAGCGTCGAAAAATCGTCCCCTGACCATGTGTCGACTCATTTTGCCTACTCCCCTTGCACAGGGACTGGACGCCCGAGTTATCCGGGGTAACTCGGGTCCGGGGTAACTCGGGTTTGGGTTCCCGAAACACGAACCCGAGTTAGCCCTGATCCGAGTTACCCCTGATGATTCGGGGCCCTGAACGCCCGAGTTATCCGGGGTAACTCGGGTCCGGGGTAACTCGGGTTTGGGTTCCCGAAACACGAACCCGAGTTAGCCCTGATCCGAGTTACCCCTGATGATTCGGGGCCCTGAACGCCCGAGTTATCCGGGGTAACTCGGGTCCGGGGTAACTCGGGTTTGGGTTCCCGAAACACGAACCCGAGTTAGCCCTGATCCGAGTTACCCCTGATGATTCGGGGCCCTGAACGCCCGAGTTATCCGGGGTAACTCGGGTCCGGGGTAACTCGGGTTTGGGTTCCCGAAACACGAACCCGAGTTAGCCCTGACCCGAGTTACCCCTGATGATTCGGGGCTCTGAGGGACGTGTCCCGCTCGAGACACGCGCAACGGCGCCCGAAGGGGGAGGAGGAGGAGGAGGAGGAGGAGGAGGAGGAGGAGGAGGAGGAGGAGGAGGAGGAGGAGTCCTCTCGCCCGCCTCCCTTCCGCCGCCCCGGCTCGCCGGAAACCGGCCGGGCCTCCTGGGTGGAGCCGGCGTGCGCCGTGGTCGGAGGACCGCGCGCCACCACGGCGAGGCATCGGCGAATGCCTTCGGCGAGGCGTCGGCGAGGCATTCGGCAACACCTCGGCGCCGTCGGCGTGCAGAGCATCGAGCGGCACAGCGGGCCGCACCGCCGACGCATCGGCGATGCGGCGCGATCCTCCGACCCGGTCTTCTGAGGCCCCATCTCGGCTCCGCGCGGGCCGCGGTCGTCCCCGCGCACCCGGCCCGCCCAATTTCTGATGCGCTCGGGAGTTTGGGTAGGGAGCCGTCGGATGGAGAAGCCGCCGGGGACACGCCACGCACGCACGGCACCGCATTCCCAGTGTACCCCCGCGGGGGTAGAACATCGAGATCCAACAGGAAGCGAATGCTTCCAGCGAAACGCGCGTCGACTCTATTTTCGGGGCGCCAAGGTGGGGTATGGGCCAGGCACAGGTGGGATTGGAAAGAAGATCGTTCCAGACGGCCCCGGGAAGCAGGAAACGCGCGAAACGGGAGCATCCGGCTGGGCCCGCTCCCTAGCCCCACCTTGGGATCACCCTCCCTCTGCGACCCCCCGACTCGGGAGGAGGGAGGAGGGAGGAGGGAGGAGGGAGGAGGGAGGAGGAGGAGGAGGAGGAGGAGGAGGGGAGGAGGAGGAGAGGAGGAGGAGGAGGAGGAGGAGGAGGAGGAGGAGGAGGGGGAGGAGGAGGAGGAGGAGGAGGAGGAGGGAGGAGGGAGGAGGAGGAGGACTGCGGACTGCACTGGCACAGTCGCGAAAACAACTGCCGAGCAGACGTGTGCAGATTTGGTCCATCGGCTCGTCTGGGCGGTCGCGCTCGCCCTGCCCAGCAAGAGCAGGAGGCCGCGGAGCACGATCATCTTCGAGCCCCCGCGCGCGGCCTGGCCTTCCAAAGACAGAACTTTGCGTCTTCGGCGATGCATCCTTGCGGTCTTCGGCGGTCTGCTGGCAGTCTTCGGCGGTTTCCTGGCGGTCTTCGGCGGTCCCCCGCGGTTTTCGGCGCGAAAGCTGGACAGTTGCGAAAAGAAGGGTCCATGATCCACCACCTCAAACAGAATAAACTGAAACCTGCGCACAACAGGAGCTCGACCACGAGGATCCTTCCACAAGAAACCCAACCCTGGAACCCCAGGACGTCCGTTGACTCTTTGGTGTGGGAACGTCACGCCGTCCCTCGCAACACCATCGAAGTCCAAGCAACCCGAGGCACCCTGGAGGCGAGCGGGGTGTTTCTCGGCGTGGGTCTCCACCGCAAGCACGAACGTCCGAAGATCTGCGCGGGCTTCTTGGGCCAGCGCCGGGCCCTTCGGAACGACGCGCGGAGCGGCGGGCGGAGGCGCCGCCAAGGGACGTCCAGCGCCGCTCCAAGAACTCCGCGCGGGCCTCGGGAGGTTCAGGCTTGTGGAAGGTCGTCTTGTTCGATTTCTACTTGGATGACCGCGGAGGTTTGCTTAAGGGGACAGGGGGACTGAAAGTTGGTGCCAGCGTAGAAGAAAGTACAGGGCCGACATCAGCTCGGGAGTGGGTTGCAGGTGTCCTCAGCGGCTTGCGGGTGGTAGCGACCTGGGCTAAGTGGGCAGCCCACTTACCGGAGATGCCTTGCCCTTTGCAGTTACTCAGTGCACCTGCAGCTCACCTCTGAGCAAGGTCAGACCAGATATCACCCACCCTCACATCTTCTTACATGGGACGCACAGAGACATACCAGTACAATATGTCCTCCTTGGAGGCGCGCGTCCGACCCGAGCAGATAGTATACCCATCTTGTGGTATATCGTTGCCCGAGCGGTGTGGCCAGCAAGCGCCCACCACGACGCATATACTCTATGATTTCTCGGTGCGCCCGTCGCCCCTGGGGGGGGGGGGGGCGCGACGCACACGTAGTATGAGTATGCTGGGGCGACGCCGATCACCCCCCCCATCCCTAGGGGGCCCAGAAAGGACGTACGCGCCCAGCTATGTACATGAACACGGCCCCTCGGTCCGCGAGACGGGCCGCGTTACACGAACATTTGCGCAGTGCGTGCCCTCGAAACCAGCGTGGATTCATGTACATGTACGTCCTTCTGTCGCTCCTGAATCCCCCTGGCAACCAGCGCGGTGATCCGAGCACTGCTGGCGCCCACCGTCCTATACATGCCGTTGTCGTCCGGCTTCATCTCGTGACCTGGGGTGCTCGGCAGGGACGCCGCCCCCCGACACGGGCCGGGCCTACCCCGGAGGCCCGCCCTGCGACCCTCGCGGCACGGCCCACCACGACGCGGTCGCACGCGCCGTCCCCGGCCCGGCGATCGCCTGATCGGCGGCACACGTTCGGTGGCAACTCCTGGGAGCATCCCATACCATCTTGTCGGCTCCTGCGAACCGACGCCAATCGGCGCGAGCGCAACGCTGTCCGACGCCAGATCGGTGCCTGTCGACGCTCGCCGACGTTCAATCGATGCTGATCGACGCTAGCCGACGCTAAATCCGCGCTATCTCACCGACTCCCAGACGCTGATAGACGCCAGTCGACGCTGAAGACGGAATTCACAGGGTACACCAGGCTCCCATGATGTGCTACAGAAGCACACGGGCCACGATCGAGCCCCGATCGAAGATCTCGGCACGCCAAGCGCGCGGCTCAAACTCTTGGGCAATATCTTGACGGCAAACTGCGGACCCGCCGGCCGTGTCCCCCCGACACTGGCCTCCGACGCACCGATGCTCACCTCCAACACGTGGGGCTACGGAGTTGTCGACCCCGTCTGTGCCAAGGGGGCTCGCGGGGTGCCGAAACAGGGCGACGAGGTCTATGCACATTCACGGCCCCTGGCCAGGCCCATCCTGGGCCCAGGAGCTGCAGGTACGCCCTTCTGGCCTGGCCAGGACTGCATATGCAGCGCTCCTGGGCCCAACACGGGCCTGGCCAGAGGCAATGGATGTGTGTAGGTCTCGTGGCCCGATTGACAAGGGCGTCCCTGGTCTCGGGTGTCCCCAGCTCGTCGTTCCATCTGGAGCCCCTCGGGCCCAGTGTGCCTCGTGATACGGTGCTCGAGAGGCTGTGGGCACCACCTGTCTAGGAATCAACCGCACAAAAGTGCCTTTTCGAAGCTCTGCGCGAATTCCTTGGATCGGCGCCGGGCCCCCCAACAGGCCCTTTTGTGGCCAGACTCGGCCAATTACTGCCACTGGCCAGGCTGCTCGGCCATTTCCAGCAAAACCGGGGTTCAACACATCTCATATGGCGGTGACAATCCGTCTCTGAACCACGGGGCCCAACACACATCCGATGCTCCTGGCGCCTTTGTGCTCTCAAGGTGGTTTGATTCAAGTTCGCCAGACACGCCGTAACACGCTGAGCGTGGTGTCGCGTCAAGCTTCTGTCGCCTCTAGGCCTGGGCATAAGGTCGCCACCAGCTCCATCCAACCCCGCGGCACGGCGCCAGCCCCGGAGATCCCTCTGGGCAGCCTGGATGAGCTCCAGCTTCGAGATCATGCCGTCGCCGTTGGCGTCGATGCTCCTCCGAGTAGGGACTCGACAGATCGATTACAGAACTTCTCGACCCCCAGAACTGATTTGTTCGCCGAGTCTGTGAGACATGCGCAGGGTGCTCGCAGAACTACGACGTGTCTACGCCGAGTCTCTTAATAAGCGTCGGGGGGGGGGGCGTCACCCCCGCCGACAGCCCCACATCGACCCCCGTCGCGGGCAGCCGCCGCGAGCCGAAGGCGCTCCGACCCCCGTCGCGGCGCGACGACGGGGCGAGGTTGACCCCCGTCGGGGGGGTACCCCCCACGCGTATTAAGAAACCCAGAGTGCGTATGACTCGACGAAAAATTCAACTCTGCGGTCAATCAATTCTGTGCACTCGATTCCCTGCTCGACCGACTCCTCACAAAGTCCTCCGTGGAGTCCCTGCGGCCATCGAGCACGGGGCCCTCGCCGGGCCGTGCCCAGAACCGGGGTCACCACTGGGGGGGTCGCCACCATCTCTCGGCGGCGAGCGAGAAGAAGCAGGAGGAGGAGGAGGAGGAGGAGGAGGAGGGTGAGGAGGAGGAGGAGGAGGAGGAGGAGGAAGGGAGGAGTGAGGAGAGAGGAGGAGTCGAAGCAGGAGAGGGAATGAGAGGACCGAGGGAGGGGAGAGAGAGGAGGTAAGAGGAGGAGAGGAGGAGGGAGAGGTGAAGGAGGAGGAGAGGTAGAAGGAGAGGAGAGAAACAGGAGAGGAGGAGAGGTGGAGAAGGAGGGAGGAGGAGGGAGGAGGAGGAGGAAAGGGAGGAGGAAGGAGGAGGAGGAAAGGAGGGAAGAGGATAGGATGAAGAAGAGGATGAAGGATGAGGATGACGAAGGAGGAGGGAGGGAGGAGGAGAGGAGGAGGAGGAGGAAGGAGAAGGAGGAGGGATGTAGGAAGAGGAAAGGAGAGGAGAGAGGAGAGGAGAGAGGAGGAGGAGGAGGATGAGAGGAGGTAGGAGGAGGAGGAGGAGGGAGGAGGAGGACTGAGAAGAGTAGGGAGGAGATTAGAAGGAAAGGTGGAAAAGAAGAGATAGAGGAGGAGAGGAGGGAGGAGAGGATAATAGGGACGGAGCGGAGGAGAGGATGAGGAGGAGGAGGAAGGGGAGAGAAAGAGGAGGAGGAGGAGAGGAGGAGAGAGGAGGAGAGGGAAGTAGGAGGAGGAGGAGAGGAAAAAGGAGAGGAGGAGGAGGAGGAGAGGGAGGAGGAGGAGGAGGAGGAGGAGGAGGAGGAGGAGGATCGGATCGGATCGGAAGCTCGTGAACTCCCGTCGATGGCCTCGGGCCGACTAGCCTCGCACCAGCACGGCACACTGCACGAAGAATCTGACAAGGATCACTACGAATCCCACTGTTGACTGCGAATTGGCCGCGGCTGCCGCTGCGCCCTCCCCTGGCATCTTCTGGAACGCATGGAGCAACTCTGACCGGGAGGTGCGGGCAGAGATGGCGGCACAAATCAATCAAGTTAGAGCCTTCGAAAGGGCAACTGGGGCATGTAAGTGTCGTGGGCGAAATCAACTTCCCGAGGGTGTAAGGTCCCGTGGTAATACAGTGTCCCCGTGATAATGACCCCTGCAAGTGAAGTGAAGCGTCCGCCACGGTAGCGAATATCTGGTGGCAATTGATGCACGGGTTACTGGGGGTGAGATACCTACAAAGATTTCGGAGATGATCCACCTGCCGTAGAGGGTTCATGAGGTTACGCCGCGTGGTGAATGTGGCCCCACATGGCGTGTCCGATCCTTCCACTGTCAGCCAACAACGAAACGCCGCATCTTCCTCCAAGGGAGCCGCGTCCGAGACCGGCGCCTGCGGGTGCCACCTGAACCGAGAATTGCCGAGCACGAACCTCCGTGAAATCTATGGCCTGCAGGTCTGCAGCCCTCTCACGATCCCCCAGTATAGTCAAGTCTCCTACTATATCATCTAAAATACCTGCCTCCAGTATATCGGCTGCCCACGAGAAGTCATTGTGCAGTTGCGCAACCCACGGCGACGAGAAGGGAGTAGGCTGTCAACGATCTAGCGGGGGTCGGTCCCGGTGAAACTGAGCAGCACCAAACAAGGAACCTAATACTTGACAGTGATGCTGTGGGTCGAGTGCCCACGTCTGATACATTCGTAACCTACGTATCTTCATGTCCTTGTCACTCCCAAGAACTCTACAGTGTCCCAACACCTGCACATTAGTCATGCTAGTAGGATGTGGCCCCGTCCAAGTAGTAGCCTCCCCCATCATTGCGATTCTCCCCAGAGACGCCATCGCACTATCTAGCCTAGCGCAGTCCGTCGGGGACAGGACGAAGCACTCGAGGCCGCTGAGGAGGGCCCCCTGACCGAAACCGAGCAGCAACGTACGCTTCCACTTGAACGGGAACGGGATACTCCATACTGCGCCCAAACTGCGGAACGAAACACGACTTGCCGAAATCCTCCTCGTGACCTCACTCCTAGCCGAAGATGACATAGATAAGTATGGTCCGAGATACCGAGCCGCCTCCTTCGGGGACCCCTCGATCACCAACCTAGTCCCTTCGCCATCTCGACGACGCACCAATCGGCGGAGCTCACGACGGAAGGTCTGGCTATTGAAAGAGAAGTGAAACAATATTGCCTGCTTTGACCGATTTTGCCCATGCCCACTCCCCTCCAATCTCTCGTCCAAAAGGCGATCTGCCATGCTCAGCTTGTCTAGGAATTCCTCAAAGGTGGACTCTGGGCTCGCCAGGCAGAACTTATTAAGGTCGCCCGCGTACTTAAGTAAGCTAAGATCACATCGATGCCCCCCCCCCCCCAATTCACAATCATGTCCTTAGCGCAAGGGCCCTCAGGGCGAAGGTCGAAGCTCCACTGCAGGATGGGTTCCTGAAAAGCGGCAAGGAACGAAGCGACAGCGAACGGGTCCCCCATGAGGCTCCCCTGGTGGGTCTTCAAGTGCACCTTCTCCCCCTCCCCCCCCCCTCCATCTGCACCGCGGCCTGTCGGTACCTCTGCTTGCGCAATGCCAGGTCCTGGGCGGCGGTGGTCATGACTCTATCGAGGGCCTCCCAGCCGGCACTCCCGAACGCATTGGTCATATCCTTGAGGCACATTGCGTGCGCACGGCCTGCAGCGCGGAGTCTCCACGAGGATACAGTCGCAACCAGCACGGCACACTCGCGACGACGACCCCGTACAAACCCGTGGTCGACGATGGCTGGGCAAGGTGCTACGCGGCGTGCGTACCACGCCTTTCCAATGACGGGCAACAGGTGGATGACTCCCTTTCCCGTGGGGCCGATCTTCAGAGATTTGCGCAGCCCGACCCCCACGCTCCTGTGCCAGTACAAAGGCGAGGTCTGCGACGATCTCATTTTTGACAGGCCAACCGATAACAACCACCAGAACCCACGGATCTCTGGGGCCTTGTCCGAGAAGCCGAGGCCCCCCCGATGCTGGACGCGCCAGTTGGGAAATAATGCCATGTGCCACAGCTCCAGGGGGGACGTGTCGGGAGGGATCTGGCGTCTTTTGGGGGCCCTGCGCACGCATCTCCTAACGACCTGCGCATCCTCCTTGACAAGAGCGTTGACCTCCTCATCCTCACCGTCATATGGGAAGGGCTCAACTTCACGGTCGCCCATCCAGCTATCCCAATCATGCTCACTGCACAACATGCCTCCCAGCGCACCACGAAGAGACCAGACGGATAACCGCTCGCCAACCGTAGGTTGACGCGGGGCGCAGAGTCGACTGTCTCTCTTCTCAGGTCCCACCCGTGTACGTGCAGCACGTCGTGATATCCTCATCGCCTCCTCCATCCTCCTGTGCTCCCAATGTTGCGTGGCCTCCTCACAAAGTCGTGTTCGGTGTCGTCTTAGTGCCCTCCTCCTTGCCGTCCGCAGCTCCCCCGTGAGGTCCCGAAGATCACGATCTATCCTCTCCGCCTCCTCTCCTGTCGCCCCCTCCTTCCCAGAACGGATAAGCGCGCGTTGCCGTATCAGCTCCCGTCGACGCTTGCAATCCAGAGAACAGGTAGGACAAGGAGGAGGATGAGCCTGAAAGTGTCTACGACCAGCTTCCAGAAGGACGGCCTCTAGAGTCTCGAATATAGCATCAGGACACCCATAGTCACGAAGCCAGGCGAAGGGAACCGCACGCAGCACTTCCTGCACCGATTGCAGGAACTCCCAGCGCAGACAACCGCGCCGAAGTCCGTCCATGAGTAGATCGAAGTTCCAACGGTCACCTGGCACCTCCTGTGGTCGAGCCCCCCCTCCCTTGCTATAGGCAACACAACAAGCTAGAGGCAGGTGATCGCGAGGTGCGGGGCCACGAATGGCCTGTAACTCCGCCCCCATAGAACGTAACACCGTAGCTTTGACCACCTGTGCTTGCATCCCCCTCGGTAGAAACATGCAATCCAGTCTACTACAACCAGTATCATGGTAGTACGTGGGGACATACGTGTTGGTGTGCATAGCTTTCATGTGATTCAATTCCATGAGCTCACGGACACGATGTCCAGCACCTCGAATGATCCTCTCCTCAGTACAGGTGTCCACAACAGACGTGGGGAGGTCAACCCAGCGCTCGTGCTGGTAGGCCCTCCCCATGCCGTCGCCCAGATCGGTGAAGAACACCGTGTGCATCTCTGGGGCAGTTCGTGCAAGACTGTGGCCAGCCAGTCGTGCAAGATAGACACGGTCTGCAAGTAATTTCCCCTCTGCTCACGCTTCTTGGGACGAGGAGGGAAGTAGGCCACCAAGGCACAGACGTCCAGGGGTCCTCTTTTGAGTCGAACGGCAAGCCCTCGCCCTGCTGCGCCAGCAGGGCTCCCCCATGTCTGGTACACATCCGACGATCCGAAGAGCCCTCCCAGCACAATAGCACACCCACAGCTAGAGTTACTATACGGCTGTAGTCCGTGAGCATGGGGGGCCTCCAGAACGATATTCCCAGACACGCGTCGCTGTAGTACTGTTGCGTTCCCTAATCGATCCCCTGCTTTAATCCCACATAGCATAATAAGATCGAAGTTCCTCCCCTCCAGCACGATCTCCTCCAACCTCTCTCCCGTAGCCCAGAGGGGGTTGAAGCCGAGGCATCGCAGCATGGACATGTGGATGGAGGATGGCACGCGGGGGCGGGGAGTGTGGGGCGAAGAGAAGCCTCGCCAGCCAGGCCGATTCAGGGCATGGTGGGTTACTCCCTGCAGGAAACAGAGAGACCTCGCGACCGCCCGAAACATCGCACCTGAACCGCGGGGGCTGAGGAGGAGGAGGAGGAGGAGGAGGAGGAGGAGGAGGAGGAGAGGGAGGAGGAGGAG